TACAACACTCCCCAATAGGAAGAAAACCCGCTGGGTTGTTCATCCAGTCACTTGTACCCAGACACAGCTGGAACTTGCTTAACTGTCTCAAGTGAACAGCTCCTCAAACAAGAAGATTAACATTTGTCAACCCTTAAAATCTTTTGTTATCTTGCTGGTGCAAAATGGGTAAATCTTTCAGTAACAGTATCAATATTTGACAAATAGTGTTTTCCTAACTCAAACAATGCCCGAAACGCTTTGCCTGCCCGAAACGCTTTGCCTGCCCGAAACGCTTTGCGTAATAGTGGCTTTAGGCATTGTATGTACTAGCTCTATCTATAAAGCCAACAAACTTTGTAAAATCTCTTTATGTATGTACCTTACCTAAATAAAAATTATTATTATTATTATTATTATAATGTGGGGGTTTATTATTCTACATATATTTCTAATGACTCACGTGTTCACATTCTCTCAGGTAGTGGTCAAGGCGGTGTCCGTCACTCTCACCACAGATTCTGCAACTTCGCTGCTCAACTGTTGTTTCCATTCCGAATCTCCATGGATATTTGTATTCAAGACGGATTCTCGCTATTACTGATTCTCTCCCTCTTCCTCCTCCTCTTCGTCCATAATGATTGGGATTGCTAGCTGCAACCATATTGTACCATCGTACAGATTCACTGGTTTGTTGTTCTCTTCTGTCCTCAGTTACCTTGTCGCGGTGATGTTGCCTGATAATACCTCTAATTTGTACAAGTCTTGGGTATGAAGTAAGTAATTATCAAAAGAAGGCACCAAACCAGGAAGGCAATCTTGGGTATGAAGAATTCAATATGGTCTCCTTCAGCAGCCAGCACATCTGCTCGTTCATTCCCACAGATTCCAACATGGGAGGGGATTAACAAATTTGATTACTTCCCCAACTGATTAGTACTCTTGCAGGTCTCGGCGACTATCTCAAGATTTTCTGGCTGATTTTTTACTAAGGCTTTGTAGAGCTGCATTTGAATAAGTGCAGATTATTGCACCGTTAGTGTTTCGTTTAAGGAATCTCAATGTCATAACAATAGAAGTTGGCTCTGTGTGCGGTGAAGAGGCATAGTTCTCAATACGTGTTTTATTTCCACGTTGAAAGCCATTATATCTAATTACAGTGTATGCTGCACCAGCCCTGCCACTGATAGGATTAGATGACCCGTCAGTAGAGATTTGATCCAATTCATTTCCGGCTACTTTATACATTTCCTCAAGATACTTGTGCCTCATTTCTTGTGGTGTCATGACTTTTTTGTTGCCATTTCATTTATGATAATCCTGCATGAGCCATCATCCCAGACAGGTAACCTCTCTCCTGGCAGCAGCTTACGGGCTTGCTCGTGAGGTCTTCAAGGTAGCACACTGATCTGTGATGCCCTTTTTTGCTTCTCATGTTTCTCCTTCTCCCTCCTTCCTCTCCCTCCCCCACTCAGACTTTACTCCTTCCCTCCACACTATTCCACCCCCCACCTTCTCCCAAGATGAAATACAGACCAGAAAACTTCCACGATAGAAAATATCCCAAAAACATATAAAAACATGTACAAAACATGTGGATGTGGGTGAACGCTACACACGCCCATATGTGTTGAAATACATCAAACACTTCACAAAAACCACGAAACAGCTCACAAACACACTTAGCTCCTTGACAAGAGAGAGTACTTAGCCACCAAACAAACACACACACACGAATCGACCAAACTGACAGGGATTTCTGAAACCAGCCACTTCACGAACAAGAGGACACAGATTCAAGCTAAGGAAACAAAGGTGCCCCAAAAATTGAAAATTTTCATTTGCAGAGTAATAGAGAGCTGGAACAAGTTAAGTGAGAAGGTGGCAGAGGCCAAAACTGTCAGTCGTTTCAAACCGTTGTACGACAAAGAGTACTGGGAAGACAGAACACCACGAGTATAGCTCTCATCCTGTAACTAAATTTAGGTAATTACACTTAGGAAATTACACACACATTACAATTAGGAAATTACACACACACACACACTCCCTAACTCCCACCCACTCCCTGACACTGACATCTCTGGAATAGGGTGTTCGAGAAGAGCCTGAAGGTTTGGTATACAAACGCCGAAGGAGTTACGAGCAAAGCAAAGGAAATAAAGGAAGTAGTTAGTGAATATGATCTTGATTTGATTGCAGTAGTGAAAACGAAAATAACTGACATGATCTCTGATGCAATATTCCCAGGGGGGGGATTCCAAGTCATAAGTAAAGAAATACAACAAAGGCAAGGAGAGGTTGCACTACTAGTAAAAGAGGAGTGGAAGTTCGAAGAACGAGAATCAGAGTGAAAACTCATACACAGACTCCATCACTCTGGCACTGATAGCAGATGGGAGAAGAATTGTGGTCCTGGTAACTTACAACACCCCCCCTCCCCCACCCAAGCAAACAACAGACCCAGGAAGGAGTATGATATCAACAACGCATGCATAGATACATTGCGGAGAGCAGCAACAGTGGCACACAGAATGAGAGTTAAACTTCTAGTCATGTGGGACCAAAGTCATGGAGAGACTGACTGGGAATCCAGAAATCCTCATGGTGGGAAGGACACCTCGGAAGCCAAATTTGTGGAAGTTGTAGAAAGAAGCGTCTTAACACAATACGTAAAGGATGAAACAAGAGTAAGGGGGGGGAGGAGATACAGCAAGTCTACTGGACTTTATCTTCACCCAGAATGAGGAAGACATGGAGAACTTAGAGCATGAAATACCATTAGGAGCAAGTGACCATTGTGTCCTGGTATGATCGACATTCATATCAGTGCCCATAAGATAAGGAATCAGGGCAGCAAGAACAGACTATAAAAATGAAGACCACATGAAAGTAAGAGAGTATCTGGGAAGTGTGCAAGAAGAGGCACTTAACTACAAACAAGTGTCACTCAAGTATCCCTTGAAAAGCACTTGAAAGAATCATATAAGACAGATTGCACACCTAAAAAGAATTGGGTTTGTAAGTAAACAACACCATGGCTTTAGCGAAGGTAACTCATGCCTGACGAACCTCCTGGAGTTTTATGATAAGTTAACAAAAATAAGGCAAGACTGTGAAGGATGGGCGGATTGCATATTTCTGGATTGCCAAAAAGCCTTTGATACAGTACCACACAGAAGGTTACTATACAAACTCGAGACAGCCGGAAGTAGACGGAAACGCACTATTATGGGTAAGGAATTACCCAACAGACAGGTGTCAGTGGGACAGTGAGGGGGGACGAGGAATCTGACTGGCGTAGAGTAACAAGCGAGGTGCCTCAAGTCTAAAGTGTTTCCTTTACACACTTTATACTTTAAACTGTGTGTTTAATGTGTCGAGCCCATTTGTATGAACACTGTATGTTTCCAAGTTTAAGTAATAAAAATATTCTGCAATAATTTTTATTAAATTACTTCAATTAGTTGTGGTGTGTGGCCCTCATGACAACACAAATATGGCCCTTAGGAGGGGGGCTCAGTTTGACATGCCTGGTTTAAGTAATTATCAAAAGAAGCCTAGGAGACTATGTAGCAATGAATGGTCTGAAGACTTGGATATAAATAAATATAATATTGAAACTATAATATGGAACACGTAACAACGGACTCGAGAAAACATTAGATAATAATAGGAATTTAAAGAAGTATTGGGTGAGCAGCGTGGAACCTGTCAAGGAACAGCCGGCCTCCTAAGGTCTCCCAACGTCAAGAAACTGTCGTACTGAAGTGTCCCTATCCTAACCCACCAGAGGACCCAAAACAGAAAACGGGACAGCATGTCAATTTCGCGAGCCGCTACCATGGTCTAGATTCTTGGCCTTAGGGAGAGTATAGGTCAACATGCGAGGCTGTGTTAGGAGGACGGGTTGTGTGAAGAGTCCCTGAAGCACTGTAGTTAGCTCCATAACTGGAGACATACGTGGGTGAAACCTGCCCAGTGTGCAACACACCCGCACGACATGGGTCACCATGTCTGCTGGTCGCCCGACAACGGGTCACCATGTCTGCTGGTGGCCTGACAACGGGTCACCATGTCTGCTGGTCGCCCGACAACGGGTCACCATGTCTGCTGGCCAGGCGACCAGCAGACACGGTGACAACGGGTCACCGTGTCTGCTGGCCGCCTGACATCGGGTCACCATGTCTGCTGGCTGCCTGACATCGGGTCACCAAGTAAAACTGTTGTATAAATTGTAATCTATACTGTTGCAAACGTTGCAGACTCTTGTAGCATAATTATAATCCATCACACTCGACCTATAATCATCACTTTACACAACATGGCTACAAGCAACTTTACACAACATGGCTACAAGCAACTTTACACAACATGGCTACAAGCAACTTTACACAACATGGCTACAAGCAACTTTACACAACATGGCTACAAGCAACTTTACACAACATGGCTACAAGCAACTTTACACAACAAATATGGCTACAAGTTTCCTCTAGCAATAAACATCTTGTCTGGAGTGGAAATATACGTCCAACACATTACCTGCATATGGGAGTGTACAGTAAACTCAGGTTCAGGGTTTACTTCCCACGATAACAATATGTTCATACAAGTGTTGGTTTTACTGATGTGTCTTATTATTCAGACCCGATGTTCCTAAGATATCACCCGCCAACACAGACGGGTCTGGGGGGGGGGAGATGTTACAAAAAAAAAAAAATAGCAGACGTCTTCTCCACCGGTGTTTTTATTATGCTGGTATGATCTGAACAGCAGTTATTTGTCACCGAATTAGTATGACAAGATGGCAGGGCCAAGTTCCAGTTGCCCGAAGTGGAAGGTGCCGGTAATATTGAATTTGACCATTTTGTAAACAAAGTGAAGGCTCGCTGATTAAATAAGAAGTGTAAGAGAGCTGGCGAGGCAGCGAGAGAAGCACAACAGCATAAAACACGACACTGTGGGAGTGTTAGAGGGGGCAGGTGGGTGTTATCACCAGTGGCTGGTCGTCTACTTACTGCTGTCGTAGTTCTGACGATAGAGGTTGAGTTCTTCTTCAGTCATCACCTCCGTGAGGATGCTGGATGACGAGGACGAGGATTGGGGACGTGTGAACGGGTCCTGGAGTGTGGTGGGCTGAGGGCTAGGGGTAGGTTGGGGGGACGTGGGGTGGTGGGCACTGGTGGCGGTGGCTGGGGTAGGCGCAGGGGGTAACAAAAGCGCACGTTCCCATCTCAAAGCTTCTATCACTCTTTTCCATCCCGACACTTTGGTTTTGGGCACGGGCTGAATATCGGCAGTCAGCAAGTCCGTGCCCACTGACTTACTCCGTGAGCGGACCATGGTAGGGGCAAACCGTTGCTTACCTTTGTGTGTCGGACGGTGGGAGAGTAGCAGCAAGCTCTCCTCAGACCCGTGACGGGACATTTCTCCTCCGCCGCCGTCTCCGTCGTCGTCCAGATGTAAATCCGAGTCCGACAGACGGATTGGACCTAATCCCAGTCCTGATCGGCGAGCTTCTAGTGTTTCCTGAAGATGGCGATGCATTTCTTGAAGGGTCTGTAGCTCTTCGAGGTAGTGAACGCGTCGTTGAAGGCGAGTATTTTGTTCTCGAAGTTCACCAAGTTGTTCCATCATGCGACACAGATTATCGAGATGATCGAGGCCAACTTTGGTGTTCACAACGCCGCCCACAGTGGCGGGCGGCCGTGACGGACTCCGATGTTCTGACCGTAATTGTGGGGCCCCTTCCTGCGGTAGCTGTCCTGGACTTACTTTCTGTGAAGGGCCCTCTTTTTGTACTTGAGCAAGTCGGCCTGGGCTCTCTTTCTGTGCGTGGACTGGCCGGCCGGGACCCTCCTTCTGTACCTGAGGAAGTGACAGCATGAAGTCCAAAAAATCTCGCTCCGTCTGTAAGGCGGCGGATATTGCCTCGCCCTCCACCGGCATCTCAATCATGTTGAAGTCAAAGGTGGCGAGGCGGGAGTCCGGATCCGGACTGGGCGACACACTTGGACACGAGTCAGAGTCTTGGTAATTCCCGCGACCCGAAGGCCGCAGCAGTGGCGATCCTCGAGGACTGGCGGATATTATCGAATCCTCTGACATCTTCCTGTTGTCGTCGTTATCATCAGTGATACTCAGCCCGCCATCAGCGCCCCCAGAGTGCAGCAACTCTTGTGAATCTTGCAAATCTTGCAACTCCTCCTCCTCCTCCTCGTCCTCCTCTTGCTGAGCATCCTGCTCCTGAGGGAGAGGCTCAGGCGTAAGGTCCCGGGTGGGCGTCCCGGGTGGTGGTCCATCCTGCGGGACTTGTTCACTCATCACATGTACCACACGTTCACACCGCCAGACCCGCTGGCACTGTGAGGTATTGGGCACTCCTGGCTGCTGCTACTGCCTCGGTGTGGCGCCCCCTGGCCGGCTTTGTGAGCTCTTCCGCCCCCAGTACCCTCACACCCTCACTAGCCCCCACCACCACTCTGCACCCTCACCGCTCCACTAAATATACGATGAGTGTGGCCGGCAGACGCAGCACCTGCCGAGAGTGACGACATCAAGTTTACACAAGAGACACCACATGCAATACTAACATATACCGCAGATGACGGTCGGCGTCAGCACGGAGACCCCCCGAGGTGGACCCCTGCAGTGTGGTGGAGCATGATGCTGGCCTCACGGATGCTGCTCGCCTCACACCCACCTCATCTCCAGTCAACACCACCTGCTACCAGACAATACATTATGAGAATGACGTGATATAGAACATTCATTAGCACCTGTGGGATTACCTGTACAGTCCCAGCCAGAGACCATTCAAAACATCCAAGAACCCCATCCCTCCCTCCCTCCCTCTCTCATCATCACTACTACAAATAATATACATTATAACAAATATATATACAATTTTTTGTGAATAATGAGATTGTTATCAATATCAAATAAATGTTTATACCATTATGATAATTATCATAGCTTCAACAAACTGTTGGGAGGCATTAATTAAGACACTGACCTGGTACAATCATTCCGACAAACACTCAGGAAAAGATTTCCGATCTAACAACATATTTAGAGTAAATGTTTCCCACAAGGTCTTCAGAGTTCCTGGCGTGACGTCACTGATGAGGCGCCAATCTGATACCGGGCGGGAGTCGGTACCTCCACCCACCTCCATGCGTGCACTAGGGCCTCCACCCCCCCTCCATGTGTGTAATGGGGCCTCCACCCACCTCCATGCGTGCACTAGGGCCTCCACCCCCCCTCCATGTGTGTAATGGGGCCTCCACCCACCTCCATGCGTGCACTGGGGCCTCCACCCCCCCCCTCCATGTGTGTAATGGGGCCTCCACCCACCTCCATGCGTGCACTGGGGCCTCCACCCCCCTCCATGTGTGTAATGGGGCCTCCACCCACCTCCATGCGTGCACTGGGGCCTCCACCCCCCCCCCTCCATGTGTGTAATGCGGCCTCCACCCACCTCCATGCGTGCACTGGGGCCTCCACCCCCCCCCCTCCATGTGTGTAATGGGGCCTCCACCCACCTCCATGCGTGCACTGGGGCCTCCACCCCCCCCCCTCCATGTGTGTAATGGGGCCTCCACCCACCTCCATGCGTGCACTGGGGCCTCCACCCCCCCTCCATGTGTGTAATGGGGCTTCCACCCACCTCCATGCGTACACTGGGGCCTCTACCCACCCCCTCCATGTGTGTAATGGGGCCTCCACCCACCTCCATGCGTGCACTGGGGCCTCCACCCCCCCCCCTCCATGTGTGTAATGGGGCCTCCACCCACCTCCATGCGTGCACTGGGGCCTCCACCCCCCTCCATGTGTGTAATGGGGCCTCCACCCACCTCCATGCGTGCACTGGGGCCTCCACCCCCCCCCCCCCTCCATGTGTGTAATGCGGCCTCCACCCACCTCCATGCGTGCACTGGGGCCTCCACCCCCCCCTCCATGTGTGTAATGGGGCCTCCACCCACCTCCATGCGTGCACTGGGGCCTCCACCCCCCCCCTCCATGTGTGTAATGGGGCCTCCACCCACCTCCATGCGTGCACTGGGGCCTCCACCCCCCCTCCATGTGTGTAATGGGGCTTCCACCCACCTCCATGCGTACACTGGGGCCTCTACCCCCCCCTCCATGTGTGTAAAGGGGCCTCCACCCACCTCCATGCGTGCACTGGGGCCTCCACCCCCCCTCCATGTGTGTAATGGGGCCTCCACCCACCTCCATGCGTGCACTGGGGCCTCCACCCCCTCCATGCGTGCACTGGGGCCTCCACCCCCCCCCTCCATGCGTGCACTGGGGCCTCCACCCCCTCCATGCGTGCACTGGGGCCTCCACCCCCCTCCATGCGTGCACTGGGGCCTCCACCCCCCCTCCATGCGTGCACTGGGACCTCCACCCCCCTCCATGCGTGCACTGGGGCCTCCACCCCCCCTCCATGCGTGCACTGGGGCCTCCACCCCCCTCCATGCGTGCACTGGGGCCTCCACCCCCCTCCATGCGTGCACTGGGGCCTCCACCCCCCTCCATGCGTGCACTGGGGCCTCCGCCCCCCCCTCCATGCGTATACTGGGGCCTCCACCCCCCTCCATGCGTGCACTGGGGCCTCCGCCCCCCCTCCATGCGTGTAATGGGGCCTCCACCCCCCCTCCATGCGTGCACTGGGGCCTCCACCCCCCCTCCATGCGTGCACTGGGGCCTCCACCCCCCCCTCCATGTGTGTAATTTGGCCTCCACCCCCCCCTCCATGCGTGCACTGGGGCCTCCACCCCCCCTCCATGCGTGCACTGGGGCCTCCACCCCCCCTCCATGTGTGTAATGGGGCCTCCACCCACCTCCATGCGTGCACTGGGGCCTCCACCCCCCCTCCATGTGTGTAATGGGGCCTCCACCCCCTCCATGCGTGCACTGGGGCCTCCACCCCCTCCATGCGTGCACCGGGGCCTCCACCCCCCCTCCATGCGTGCACTGGGGCCTCCACCCCCCCCTCCATGCGTGCACTGGGGCCTCCACCCCCCCTCCATGCGTGCACTGGGGCCTCCACCCCCCCTCCATGTGTGTAATGGGGTCTCCACCCCCCCTCCATGCGTGTAATGGGGCCTCCACCCCCTCCATGCGTGCACTGGGGTCTCCACCCCCCCCCTCCATGTGTGTAATGGGGTCTCCACCCCCCCCTCCATGCGTGCACTAGGACCCCAACCCCCCACCATGCGTACACTGGGACCTCAACCCCCACCATGCGTGCACTGGGACCCCCACCCCTTCCATGCGTGCACTGGAACCTCAACCCCAACCATGCGTGCACTGGGACCCCCACCCCCTCCATGCGTGCACTGGGACCTCAACCCCCACCATGCGTACACTGGGACCTCAACCCCCACCATGCGTGTACTGGGACCTCAACCCCCACCATGCGTGCACTGGAACCCCCACCCCCCTCCATGCGTGCACTGGGACCTCAACCCCCACCATGCGTACACTGGGACCTCAACCCCCACCATGCGTGCACTGGGACCTTAACCCCCACCATGCGTGCACTGGGACCTCAACCCCCACCATGCGTGCACTGGGACCTCAACCACCACCATGCGTGCACTGGGACCCCCACCCCCCCCTCCATGCGTGCACTGGGATCTCAACCCCCACCATGCGTACACTGGGACCTCAACCCCCACCATGCGTGCACTGGGACCTCAACCCCCACCATGCGTGCACTGGGACCTCAACCCCCACCATGCGTGCACTGGGACCTCAACCCCCACCATGCGTGCACTGGGACCTCAACCCCCACCATGCGTGCACTGGGACCTCAACCCCCACCATGCGTGGACTGGGACCTCAACCCCCACCATGCGTGCACTGGGACCTCAACCCCCACCATGCGTGCACTGGGACCTCAACCCTCACCATGCGTGCACTGGGACCTCAACCCTCACCATGCGTGCACCGGGACCTCAACCCCCACCATGCGTGCACTGGGACCCCCACCCCCCTCCATGCGTGCACTGGGACCTCAACCCCCACCATGCGTGCACTGGGACCTCAACCCCCACCATGCATGCACTGGGACCTCAACCCCCACCATGCGTGCACTGGGACCTCAACCCCCACCATGCGTGCACTGGGACCTCAACCCCCACCATGCGTGCACTGGGACCTCAACCCCCACCATGCGTGCACTGGGACCTCAACCCTCACCATGCGTGCACTGGGACCTCAACCCCCACCATGCTTGCACTGGGACCTCAACCCTCACCATGCGTGCACTGGGACCCCCCACCCCCACCATACATACACATACACACAGGATATAAGGGAAGTTAAGATGGAAGCCCCCCTTGGGAATGAGTGATCATAGTGTATTGAGCTTTGAGTACCAGGTTGAGCTAGGACTTATCTCCCCCAAAAAAAAGAAATGGGAAACAAAGGGCTGGCGTACCCAAAGGGAAACTATGAGGAGATGAATAAATTCCTAAGGGATATACCATGGGACACAGAACTCGGAACTAAGTCCGTACAAGACATGATGGATTATGTCACCCAAAAGTGTCAGGAGGCAGTAAACAGGTTTATCCCAGCCCAACAGGAAAAAAACGAAAAGTAAAAGAAGAATCCGTGGTTTAATAGGGAATGTATAGAAGCAAAGGAGCTGAACAAAAGGGCATGGAGGAACTTCCGTAATAACAGAACGCCAGAAAGTAGAGAGAGATACCAGAGAACCAGGAGCGAGTATGTTAGTGTGAGAAGAGCAGCTGAGAAAAGGTATGAAAATGATATAGCTAATAAAGCCAAGACCGAACCAAAGCTACTACACAGTCACATCAGGAGGAAAACAACAGTGAAGGAACAGGTGATGAAACTTAGAACGGGTGAGGACAGGTACACAGAGAATGACAAAGAGGTGTGTGAAGAACTCAACAAAAGGTTCCAGGAGGCCTTTACAATAGAACAAGGAGAGGTCACGGCGCTAGGAGAGGTGGCAGCAAACCAGGCGACCTTGGAAGGGTTCGAAATTACAAAAGATGAGGTCAAAAGGCACCTATTGGAACTGGATGTGAGAAAGCCTGTTCGACCGGACGGAATCTCACCATGGGTATTGAAAGAGTGTGCAGGAGCACTTTGTTTGCCATTCTCCATAGTGTATAGCAGGTCACTGGAAATGGGAGACCTACCAGAAATATGGAAGACTGCTAATATGGTCACAATATACAAAGAGGGTGACAGACAAGAGGCACTGAACTACAGGCCAGTGTCCTTAACTTGTATACCATGAAAGGTGACGGAGAAGATCGTGAGATAAAACCTAGTAACACATCTGGAGAGAAGAAACTTCGTGACAACCCATCAACATGGGTTCAGGGAGGGTAAATCTTGCCTTACAGGCTAAACAGAATTCTACGATCAGGTGACAAAGATTAAGCAAGAAAGAGAAGGCTGGGCGGACTGCATTTCTTTTGGACTGTCGGAAAGCCTTTGACACAGTACCTCATAAAAGGTTGATGCA